GGACTATCACAGTCCGTTGGCACTAAGTGCGCCGCAGGCAGCCATGGGGCTTGAATATATATCTATCTTTCTTTCTTTTTTTTTCTTTTTCTTTTTAGGCTTGAATATCTAGCACGCCCCATCGTTGGATTGTATGAAAGAATAAAATTTGGACCTTTTCTCGATTATGCGTGTCATCGCTCCACTACTCACCAAATTTGCAAAATGAGAATGAATCTTCCGCTAGTATATGGAAAGATGCTTCTCCATATGTTGTCTTTTGTGCATGTGGAGACTACCGTCTTCACCCGAATAGAACGCCCCGTCATTATCGCTGCATCTGGACTGAAAGTTGGGCCAAATGTAGCTATGACGACCAGGCGTTCTCTTCGGGTGAAGCTAAGATGACCGGGCGTTCTATTCGGGTAAAGACGGTGGTGGAGCGAGGCCCATTCTTGTGCAGGGGCCATGCTAAGGGTCAGATCCCACTGGCAAAGAGGATTGGAATAAGTGTCTGAATCTGGACGTGTTCCACACAGATATGCAGAGACCTAGACCAATCACAAATTATCGCACCTGCCCACAAACACGTCCACATTCACACAAAGAGTATTGGAATAAGTGTCTGAATTCGGACGTGTTCCACACAGATATGCAGAGACGTAGACCAATCACAAATTATCCCACCTGCCCACAAACACGTCCACATTCACACACTTACTACAATCCTCTTTGTCCGTGGGATCTCGCCCTAATCTTCTCTGTATCCAACTGGCCTACCTTAGTTGGTACACCTACCAACTGTTGAAATGCAGACCTGAGCTCGAATCCGAATTGAATCTGACGAGTGACAACGACTCTGACTTTACCTGGGGCTGGTCTGCTCATAGATGATATCCCTCACAGCCATCGCCCGCTCCCCCCCCTCCCTCTTTTAAACAAAGAGGGAAAGGAGGAGAGAAAAAGAGAAAGGAAAGAGAACGGGAAAAGGAAAAACAAAAAAAACAACTGGCCTAGCTCAGTTGGTACAGCCCTTGAACTGTTGAGAAACAGACCTGAGTTCGAACTCCACGAGAAGCAAATGAATAAAAAAATGTTACAATTTGGGCATTAAAAAAAAAAAAAAAAAAGAAAGAAAGCAAAGGGCATACTCACACTTGGTAGGCCCTCAAAATGGCAAAATCACAAAATGAGGGGGCAGATTGAGTTCTTGTAAAGGAAGGATTCGATCTGGCCACACAATTTGCGATTTTGTGTGATTTTGAGGGCCTAGTGTGAGTATACTCTTAGTGCCAAGGGTGCTTAGGAGCCGATGCTGGAGGTCCAAGACCAGATACAAGATTCTCTCTCTCACTCTCCCTGCCAATCTGTTCTTCTTCCACTGCCCTGTTCTATTCCTCTCATTCATTTGGAGATGCACATGAGATGCAAGGCGGAGAATATCCACGTTTTCAAGTGGAGCATTCATTGAGATTTTTTTTTTCAAAAAAAAAAAAAAAAAAAAGAAAGATTTTTTTTTTTGTAAAAAAAAAAAAAAAAAAAAAAAAAAAAAAAAGAAGAAGAAACTACAATTCTGAACTACCTAGAGCCGGTCAGCGTGATAATTAGAGATCTCAACGCCGTTGCCCTTGGAAATATATATATATA